TAAAATAAATTTTGTTAAAGAAAAATAGCTCTGAGAAAATGATTGGCTTATTTAAGACTTATCCAGCTAAGTTCGACTGTTTAGAGAGTATCTGAAGATTAAACCAGGTCAGGAAGGCAACAAAGCCAACTAGAAACGGCTAAGATCAAATTTCAATCAGCAAAAATAGGAAAAGTAGCAAATTTGGACTATTTAACTTTTGTATTAGTCAAAGAAGAGTATTTAAAGTCAAGACCAAGTATATACTGATCAAGTATATATATACTCAAGAAATCTGTGCTGGAGGCAATTCAATTTAAATGGACACAATACATCTCAAAGAAGGGGTGACTGAAAAAGAATGGGGGAAAAAAATCACAGCCAAAGCTTAGGAAGGGACAGGAGGCAAATAACTACCTAACCATATGTCTTTCTCATTTCTATAAAATCTTTATGAGACAGGCATGTGTATGCATACAGGATGGAAACATAAGAGAAGAGACCAGCTTTTGGAGACAATTTTCTATAGAGGATATCATCATGGTTATACAACTGATTGAAGTACACAGATTATCTGTGTAAGCTTTCCCCAGCTGTCTCAGAGAATGGTTAGGAGATAGAATCTCAAGAGTAAAGCCTGAAACCAATGTGAACAGTGGAAAAACTTACCCAGTGGCAGATGTCCAGCTCTCCTAAACCACAACAGTGAAATCCACAGTAAAGTGAAAGAAAATGGTCTAACAATCCACAATGAAGAAATAATGTATAAAACATATTCTGACCAAACTATAAAACTAGCCAATCAGCTTGAGGAATTAGTCTATGAATATGTATCTAAGATAGCAGTAACAAATAAACAAAAAGCAGGAACTAGAATAGAACAGGAAAGAGGAGACAGGGCTGAAATATACTTGGGAAAATGAACAGTGTTTTCAAGGATCCCAAACTGTTTGCTCTTGTAAAAGTTCACCAGGTTCTCCATGACCCAGACCTGTACAATTTCTGACGACAATGTCAGATCAGACATGATGTCATTCCACCATTCCTTCTCTCCTCTCCCTCACCTTTCACACCACCCCTGCTTTAGCCTCACTTTTCTCCTCTTATAGTCATAATCAGAATAACTATATATGATCCACTATTCTTGAATCCCTTGTTCCCTTATCTTATCGCCACTTATGTATAGCCACACTACGACCCTGGGTGTTCCCACCATTTTTATTATCTGCTCATACTGCTTAACACTGCTTCTGAACAAAGTTACAAAATCATACTGGATTCCCAACAAAGTCATGTTACCTAATCTCAAATGGACTCTCAGTGCTGACCAAGAATTCCCTAAATGATTTTCTTTAGCACTCTTCAAACCAGTTATTTCAAACTACCTTATTTCTTCAAATCACCCTACACCAACCCCTCAATCTCTACAGAGGTTATAAAAAGATACTACTTTTTTCCTGGCATTGTATGGAGACTTTTTAGCCCCGGAGCTAGTAAAAGAGTTCAAATCCTACTTCAGAACCTGATCAAGTGGCTTAACATTGTCTCAACACTGTCTCAGCCTCAGTGTTCTCATCCCTAAACTAGAATAACAGATCCTACCTAACTGGGTTGTTTGAAGTTCAAATTTGTTAAGTGCTTTTCAAAGCACTCTATAAAGGTGACCTATTATAATTATTCTCTCCTATTTCACACCTAAAAACCCCATTGTCATCTATTATTTCCCCTAGACAAACAGGTGGTCCTTCTTAGCCAAGGCCAACTTTTTTGTGTGTGTGTGAGGCAATCAGGGTTAAGTGCCTTGCCCAGGTCAAACAGCTAGTAAGTGTCTGAGGCCAGATTTGACCTAGGGTCTTCCTGAGTCCAAGGCCGGAACTCTATCCACTGTACTACCTAGTTGCCCCAACAAGGCCAATTATTCTAAATCTGCCCTATATCACATCTCTTCTAGGAGCTTGACCATTTACTAATTCCTTACAAAAACCAAAATATTCTATTTTTTTCCTATCTACTGGCTACTTGCCTGTTGCTTATATACATGTGTCCAGATCTCCTTTCATCAGTCCACAAGTGCTTATTAAACTAGGTGCTAAGGACATACAATGAAAAAAGTCAGACAGTTTCTGCTGTCAAAAAGAGCTTATATTCTACCCATAAAAACTCCTTACTTGATGCTAGCATCTCAAGCTATTTCATAGTTTTTTTGCCTCTACTTCCTCTGACTTCTCAACCCTTTACAATCTAGAGCCCAATCCCATCTTGCCAGTCACCTGAAACAGCTCTTTACAATGTGGCCTTTTCTCAGTCCTCATCCATTCTGATTTCTATGAAACACTGGGGATGACCCACGTGCTCCTAGATTAGATCTCATTTGTTGAGTTTGTGGAAGGGACTTCTTGGTCAGATTTGAGTTCAACTAGACAGTTTTTGGAGTCTCTTCCACACTGGAGATTCTAAGATTCCTGGTTCTCTTCCTCTCTGATATTAATTTCTTAGCCTCATTTGTCAAATCACCATTCATCTCTCACCACCTAACAGTGGGTGACTGCCAAGGCTCCTTTCTCAGGGATCCCATGAGTTCCTATGGGTTCAACTGTCATCTCTATGTATATGACTCCCAGGATCTAACTCTCCAGCTCTCCAAAATGCAGTCTTCCCTCATCAAATGCCTGGATGTTCCATAGGCATATCAATCACTATAAAACCTCAATGAGATCCATAGCCACTCAAAAAAAAAGTGTCTATTATTAAGATTATGACATGCATGCAGTTGGAGTTCATCCATTTTGCAAATAGATGATAGCTGAGCCCAGGATTGAACAAAAAGAGGAGAACAGACTAAATTACCTTTGGGAAACTGCAAAACTCTTTTAAAGAGCCCAAACTTCTCCCAGAAACAAAGGCTTATTTTTTTAATATCAATATTATACTAGTGTTGAAAGCTGATGAGTTATAGAACACTAGTATTAGAAGAACTTATCAGAAGGTGAAGAGGCACACAAAGGAAAGAAGCAAGATTCAATACATAATTAACAAGGAATTAAGAAAAACTGGAATAAATGATGTTAACAAAGAAATGTGCCACTGAAGAAGATGGTCTGCTCACAGGAAAAGAGTAAGAGCCTAAGGACAATTGGTATCATCAAGATGTCAAAATAAACCAAGCTGGGTGGAGCCCCTGTGTCAACCTGATTTAAAGATAAATAGGTATAGCTGAATATACACATCAATGAGATCAAAGATCCATTTAATTGTATTTATCTTTGTACTTGTTGCACAGCATATCCCACCATCATCCCCAGGCCTCCCTCAACCAATAAGCAAAGGCTACCGCATAGGATATGTAGTTAATAACCACTTGCTGTGATTCTTTACGGTTCTGAATCCTAAAACAATCCCCCCCCCCAAAAAAAGAGAGAGAAATAAGACCAAGGATAAACAACGGAAAGAGCAAAGTGGGAATAAGACAATTTTCACTTCAGACATAACAGGTATATAAAGTCTAACATCCCTGTTCCAGCTCTGAATCTTTATGACTCTTTACATGACTAGAAAAGGAGTTGGACTCATCATGTAGCATGAATAAACACAAAGACTAAATACTAATGATAAGTCCTGAAATAAACTAGATGATAGAAAAATAAAAGGAACCCTTCCTTAGAAAACAAAAGGAATGTTTAGAGACCATCTAGTTCTCATTTTATGGAGGAGGAAAGAGAGGCCCTGAGAGAAGTGAAGTGACTTGCCCAAAGTCACACAGGTAGTATTTAGTCCAGCAGGATTTGAATCAATACTGTATGTAGTATTTATGGAAAAGAACAGACAGGAATAGTGTAAGTTAAAAGAGTAAAAGGGAAGCTGTATAACCTTTAAACTCAGCCATATCATTCCTAGGCCTATATCCCAAAGAGATCACGGAAATACATACAAAATATTTAGCAGCTGTTTTGTAGTAGCAAGAAAATGGAATCTAAGGTGGTCCACATTTATTTAGAAATGGCTATATAACCATGAAGGTATATAATTGTAATGAAATTGTACTGTACTGCACTGAAGGAAATGAAGAAATGGACAGTTTCAGAGAAACCCAAGGAAGACCTATATGAACTGCAGAGTAAAGTGAGCAGAACCAGAAGAACAATTTATACAATAACAATAACATCATAAAGATAAACAAATTTCAAATACTTGAGAGATCTGATCAAAGTAATGGCAAAACATGATTTTAGAGGATAGATGAAGTACAGCTCTAGAGAGAGGTGATGAGATTCAGGGTGCATGAAGAATGAGATATTTTTTGCACGTGGCCATTGCAAAAAGTTGTTACAATGGTCTTTTCCCCTCCCAAGGTGGTAGAAGTGGGGAGAGAAAATAATTTTTCTTCATTAAAAAAAAATTAAATTTAACTTTAAAAAGGGGAAAGAGTAAAGGGAGTATGATCTGTATTGGTAGATGAAATGACAGTAATCCTCATTCATGAAATCAGCTCTAAAGTACCATGCTTTTCTTTTGAACCTCAAATATGTACATGTGTACAGACACAAATGTAAATACGCAAGTATTACAGTTGAACTTTCACTATAATAAAAAGGTTATTTCACTTGTCAAAAAGCTGAACAAGAATAAAGAACCCTTGATTCTAAGCACCCTAAAAATTTAACCTGAAACTGAAGCAAACACATAAAGACAACAAAAATTATATAAATTAAACAGACTAAAATATGTTTTTTTCAAAAAGATAACATTCTAAAAATAGTGATGTACATTTACTGGTTCTCATTTTTTAGATGTAGAAGTTATTTGATGTTCTGAAGGCTAAATACATTGTAATCATTAGCACAACTTAGGAAATAGACCAATTAGCTAAAATACAACAAAACAGTCAACAAAATTACATGGATATTCTTTTAATAGTTTATTTCCTGGTCCAAATATTCATCAACGTTAAATTACTTCCAGCCAACATCAATATTTAATTACTTCAAAATCCACAAAACAGGTAATATAAATGTTACACATACTTTTCCTTTGCCTTGTTTTTGGTTTTTTCCTTCAATATCCTCAAAGTCTGTGTCAGAAGAAAAATGTGTCTCTGACTCCCTGTAAGAACACAATAAGCAAATTTTGAAAACATTGCAAATTTTAGTTGTTTTGCAAAAACAAAAGCTCACAGGCCACAGAAGTTTAACTGCATACTCAAACCCAAATGTCATTAAAAGTAAGAAATTCCATAAAATCATCCATGAAATATTCCTTCTACTAAATGCTGCATCCTATTACTTTAAACTACCACATAAACAATTTAAATGTACAATTTAAATGTACAAATGTACAAATACCTAAAATTCCATTTTAATGACTTTTAAAAAGTATTCATTTTGTCTAAGAAAGTAAAAACAAAAAACCCTTAAAAACTAACTACTAGGAGTTAGGACATTTCATTACATTAGTTTTGTTTTCTAGTTCTTATAATGCTATTTTTTAAATAATTTTTGTCTATTATAAATATCACACTTTATATTTAGAGTTTGTGTATGTTGAGTTATTTTAAATTATAAAGAGAAACTGATTATTTCAAGGTTCATACAATGCTAGGATCAGAGATTTAGACATGGAAGGAAGCTCTGAAGTCATCAAAACTACCTCTTCATTTTGCAGATGAGCAAACTGAGGAGACACAGACAATGCGACTTGACCAAAGTCACAAGATGGGATTTGAATCCTGGTCCTGTGACTGCAAATTCAGCACGTTATACTACTTTATGTAGTAGCATTCCACAAATTTGTATTTTTATAAGAAAAAAGGCAATTAGTTTTAACAAGAATATAGACACAGTGATTCACTTATCATGCACCTATGTGCATACATACACACAGAGCCTTTGGCTTATATTCTCATTAGTTATTCTTAATAAAAATGACATGGATAAAAAGTCAACAAACTGTACATGTTACATGTACTGAAGAAAACACGCCTATATCTGCTAGGAGTTTCCTAATAAAGGAGCTCCCCAAACCAACAAAATCATATGTATGTGCAGAAAAAAAGTTTTATATAACCAAATATAACCAAAAATAAGCACAATATCCTAAAATTCATAAACCAACATATGGAAGTAAACTGAAAGGACTAGACTAAAAAGACAGGTTTCTCTGATCAAATTTCTTCTATTTACATTTTATTTCTACAATAAATACTTCTCCAGATGTCATGTAGTGACACTGATTTTTTAGATCTAAAATAATGACTAACACACCAATATTAAATGAAATACTATTATTCATCAGCACACCTTAGCCTTGGTGTCTTCCCTCAGTGAATTTCAGGAGTCTAATGAACATTGTGGCAATCTCTGCTTTAGTCTAGGGATGTTGACAATAGAATGAGTGTCATTTTAGAGAATGAGCAGTTTTACTAAAAGCATACATTTAAGCTAACTTCTAGAAGGGTTAGCTCCAGTTCTGTTCTTTGAAAAATACTCCACCCTAACTCCAGGAAGCAAGGCTTTACAGTCTTCCAAAACTGGAAAAGTTCTTGCAAACCACAGTATGAGATGATTCTTCTCTCTCTCCAAGACATTTATGGAACATTTGCAAAAATGCCTAGCACTCAGCTCTAGAAAGAGTTCTATAAACTTCTCTGAAAATACAGCAAAAGGCATTATTCTTTTCCAAGTCACTGGGAAATAAGCAGGTGTGAAACATTTACTTGTTACCTAATATATAAAATACAGGCTCAGCTAAATCCTTAAAGCTTCATCAACATGATTACTAGGAAAGAATGGACAAATAAATCAAAGCATACTGTTCTAAGAGCCACCTGATGTTTAGGGAGAAAAGTTTCTAAAGCCTACAAAATTAAACAGCCAACAGGAAGCCATAAAACAGAGAAATTCCTCAATAGCAGACTTTAGCTGTTCTTCTTAACACACCCTCTAGTGTAACAGCAAAACTGGGGGGCAGGGGGAGTATATAAGTATAAAAATGCCAGGAACTTTAGGGTCTTTGAACTTGGACAAGTCACTTTAAATCCCTGGGGCAGAAAAATTCAAGGGCTTACCTAGCTACAGTCCCTTCCAGCTGCAAAACCTATGAACTCAAACTCAAATTACAAGATTGTTTCTCTCAACAAAAAACCTATTTTGACAAGCAAAAGGACAAAGCTAGATATACTGATGATCAAGGATTGGAGAACCAATGAAAACTGCACAGCCTGAAGCTTGATTTCCTGGATTTAATCAAACCCCCTTATTTTGAGAGATAAAAGAAACTGAGGCCCAGAGGGGTAAAAATGGCTTGCTGGTAGGTCAGTGATAGAGCTGTTTAATGGCAGTACTCCTACTTCAATTTTACTGTTACTTCCACTACTGACTACAGGGGGATGAGGGATGTCACACTGGGTTAAAGATTAGATGTTTCAATTCTCACCACAAGCTACCAGAACTGCCACTTGTGAGTAGCCAGGAAGTGATATGGCATAAGGCAAAGCACAGTGGACCTGAAAGTAAGGAAGAACCTGGATGTGGAACCAGGATATGAGTTCACACTCTAACTACATCATACCTGTGTGATCTCTGGCCTCAGCTACCTCATGACAGGACTGGACAACACAGACCTCTTCCACCTCAAAATCTAATAGTGTACTTGAATTCTAATTGTGACACTGTATAGCCCTGCTTTTTAAATAATACTTACATTTCCTATGTTACAGGGTTATTGTTTGGGAAAGTCTTGGTAAAATCCAAGTGCTACATAAGTATAACCTGTGATGACAGTTCATTGTAGCATGGAGGTGGCCCTGGTACCCTAAAGACTGTGCCAGGAAAGCAACACTCAGCCAGATATAAGCTACCAATTGTGGGATTGTCTGTAGTCTTTAAGATCAGTCTAGCTAATGTCAGAGAGCTAGGTAATGAATTTTTTTGACAACAGAGAGCTGTCATGGAAAGGCTCTTTAGAACTAAAGGAATTTCGATCAGCTTTGTTGAAGGAAACATCCATGACAAGAGCAACAACAACAAAGTCAAAGATTGTCTAGATATTATTAGTACTTGAAATGTATTGAGTTGAAGTTGTTTTTTTTTCCACCCATGAAGCTAACAGGTCTGAGATCCAGTCAAAAATGAACAAATATTAGGACCATCCATTAGTTTAGGTGTCCTTAATATTTCAGTCAAATAAATTCTACAATCTCTCACTGTGTTGCTTAATATTTGCCTGCGGTGCATACAATGAAATAAGCTATTTACAAGTATTACTATCTATACTCTCCTCTCCTGAGGGGGCCCACCCTCAGTAGCATGATGGGATGATCCTTCTTTCTCTTATGTTCAAGCAAGTAAGAAACTCTAAAGCTGAATCATGAATGTATGCTGTGAGCACCACTGGAAGATTTTATCTGGTGTAGAAAATAGATGACTAAGCAGTCAAATGACTCTGAGAAGCAGTGTGGTGTAATGTATAAAATACTGAATTTGAATTTGGAGAATCTGGGTTCTGATCCTAGCTCTGCTACTTACTACTGGTGTGACCCTGGGCAAGTCACTTCACCTCTGTGGGTCCTCAGTTCCAGAGGCTTGAACTAGAAAGCCTCTAAGGTCCTTTCAGTTCTAGATCTATTATGGATCCCACAATTTGGCCATGGTCAGAATGTTAGCATGTATCTGAGGCAGAACTTAAACCCAGGTCCTTCCTGGCCTGGCCAAACCACTTTCCACTATACCACACTGCCTCTCTCATTCCATAAAAAGAAACTCATGACTGAAATCTATTAGACCAATAAAAACAATGAATGTAAGTTTCACATTAAGGTTAATTTTATGTAGCTACACCTTGTCCTCTTTCTTCCTTTCTGTATAAAGTAAGCTCACAAGGATAGGGATAGTGTCTTCCTTTGCTAAATTCTTACACGGTCTATAGGAGGCAAGGTTATTGATAACAGTGACTGTAATTACCACTTTTATGAGGACACAAAAATCTAAGAAAATCATGTTTTACTGCAACTAATTTCCTTAGTAAAGATGCTAATTCAAAGGAAATTTAAAGTATTTTAAAAACTGACAGAAAACAAGAGTATCTTTTATTTTTATCCCAAGTACCCCCTCCTGCCCATCAAGCCAACCAAACAGTAAATCTCATTAAAACACTAAAAATAGTGTGAAATAAGCACATGAAGGCTATAACTATTCTAGTGACATTACAAAAGACCCAAGATGCAGGCCACAAAAAATTCTAAAATCTACATGTATTATCAAAACTCCACACTGACTATCAATCTCCATTCTGATCTACCTATTTCCCTAGATTTACTCACAAAACTAAATGTCACCGAAATCAAAACAAAAAATTATGGATAACTCTTAGAACCTATACACAAAATATCTTTCAGTTATAGTATGCTTATATATTTCTAGCCTAAAAATGAGCCTTATTAAATTATATGACTGATATATTCCTAAATTTACAGGCATTAAATTTTTGTAAATTATATTTAAATGCAATAGATTTTTAGATTTTCCACAAGCAGGACCTATCTGGATCTAGAATGTAAACTACCATACACTTCTGACCCTGCTTGGGACAACCACTGAAGTCTTTTTAAACATTCTTGGTGGAAAAAGATGGCAAAGTGGCCACTCTGTCTCTTTTTCATTGACAACATCTTCATTTCTGGGCACTATAATTTTTGAAGTTTGAGGAGGTGGGGGGGTAGGCAAAGGCTTAGAATAGTAACTTTTTTTTATTAAAAAGAACCAAATTTAGTTTTGAAAATTGTGACACTAGTTGAAATAACAAGTCACAATTGAAATAACTGGAATGACACAAAATCAGAGCTGGGAATCACTGTTCCAGAGTAAATCTAAGATTTTTAAAAACCTGTTTAAAAGCATATATACTACTTTCTGTTTTCGCTACCAATGGAGGATCAATAAATATGGAGAAAACACCAAAAAATCCTTAGATTAAAAATCACCATTATTAAAAATTACTTACTGAAGTAGGTTAAAATCAGTTGGTATTTCTGGAGCTGCTATCATTTCTTTATCATCTTCTGGAACACCACAGTATTAGAAATAATGTGTTCATAAATTTATGTTTGCAAAGCGCAAGTGTACTTCTTCCTTCTGTGATAGACAATTCCTAAAAAAAGAAAACAGGTCATGTTTATTCTGCCAAACTGAGAAAGGGAAAACAGCAAAATGACCACGCTCAAAAGCTATAGACACCAATGACTTGCTTTCTGTTTCAGCAAATAAAAGGATTTTTTACCTCCCCTTTACTTCTTTATCTAGATGTTCATTTTTGTCAAAACCAGGTACAATGCCACAATAAAAGCAAAATAGAAAAGAAAGGCTTCTACTACAAATTTAACTTAAAAATTAATTCTCTTTCTTAGTTTTGATTTTTTAAAGTCTATTCTAAATAGCATGTGATCTTTTTAAACAACTTCACAAAATTGAACTACTACATGGAACAATATGAAATTCTGAAATTTCAGAAGTGTAAAAGGGGAAACTGATTTGACAAAGAAACTAACATTCTTCTCAGATACCCATTCATCCATGTATTCATTCACTCAAGGAACATTTATTCAATCAGCCAACTATTGGATGTTTGGGGAGAGACAGCAAATTTTTTTTAACCTAAACTGTTCCCCCTAAAGTAACTGACAAGCTAAACTGAGAAGAAAATATAAGAAACTAACAGCTTAGTGAAGGCAGTAAGGTGTCCCAAGGTCGAAGACTGAAGATTAGTTTAGAAAGCTAGAAAGGTTATAATGGCAAGTCCAAGCAGGTGAGCAATATATAACCAGAAAAAGAAAAATAGGCCAGTTTCATTTCTATGAAACTCATAGCGGAAAGTATACAGCTTTACTGGTAACTGCTGGCAACTCCCGCTAGGAGGCTGATGATCCCCTATTACATAACACTTTTTAATTTACTACGATCTAGTTATTGAAAGTACTTTAAGATTAACATTCCAAAGCAATAATGTACTGATTATCTTCTCCAATGGTTCATGAGAAAATAACAAGAGTTTCTATTTCTTCCTTGACCAAGTATTATATAGATGCTACAAAAGCTTTAAGCAAATGGCCTTAAAAGGACAATAAAACAAGGCAAACTGAAAACCTTGTCCTTCTCAACCCTAGAACAGTGGTGTCCAACTCCAATAGAAAAGAGGCCACTAAACTGTACGCAAGAATCCCGGCTGGCCGTATATTGACTCATTCTTAAAATGTAATATTATCTATGTTTTATTGTATTTTTTATTTATTGTTAGATATTTCCCAATTACAGTTTAATCGGGTTCCACTTACACTTGGGCTACATGCCTGCATTTGACACCTCTGCCCTAGAACTAGAAAATTCTAATACCAAAGTAGAGGGAGAAGGAAAAACAGAAGACATGAATAATCTGCAAATTAGGAAAAGCAGCTCCTGAATTATCCAAGAGTTGTCTTATAAAACCATATTGAATTTTGTCACTCTCCTAAAGTACTCATATTGTAAAAATATCTAATTTAGTGACATGCCCATTACATGACTAAATCCACAACTGTTCTCTTAGACTACCATTTAAATACTTCCATTTAAAAATAACTTCGTGTGTATGTGTAGAGAGATTCTCAGAGCTAGTCAAGTGAGTAGAGGTTCCCTGCCAGCTAGAACTTTAAGCAGAAAAGATAAATGTGCCCACTCCTAAGTGCATTAGGAAAAGAAACTGGCCACCTCACGATTTATTGTAATTTAAATATAGATTTAGCTCATAAATATATTCTGACTAGGCAACATATGGCATAACGTATAGAGTGCTGGACTTGGGCTTCAATGTGCACCTCAGACATTTGATGTATAATCATGGGCAAGTCACTTACCCTCTCTAACAATTCAGTTTCCTGATCTGGAAAATGGGGAAAATATTTGCATTGCCTATGTCCAAGAATGCTTTTTGTAATGAAAGAAGTTTGCAAACCTTGAAGCCCTGAATGAGTTAACATTTTAAGAGATAAAAAGGAGCCATAAGTAAAGATTTTGTAGCCTCCAAAAAGTTCTAAATGAAAGGGTTTGATATAACAGCATTCCTTGTATAATTTCTAGTGAAGAATTCACTAAGTGTTGCCAGGTCAAATCAGGTTCAGCAAGATTATGTAAATTTGTGCTTAGTAATAAGAAAAAGTCAATATAAGGACAAGAATGAAGTACCAAAGCATAAGCCTCTCTCAGTAGAGAGCTGTTTGTTTTTTAATTGTAATTAATAAACCTTGCCAAATATTTTTCATCCCATTAAAATATAAAATTACAGTCATAACTGTTTTTATGTGAACTATAAAAAAGAAGTTTTTTTTTTTAACTAGAAAAGTACTTCTTTGCCCTGTGACAGCATTATCTATTCCTAGGTATATTAGAAAGGAACTAGCAACGGATGGAGAGGAGAGCTAGTCTAGGTGTCAGGATGGTCTGAGTTTAAAATCTTGCCTCTCATAGTATATACTGATCATGTGCCCCTAGGGAAGTCACAAGTAGCCCCAAGCAAAAGTCGAAACAGCAGATCAACTTCGGGGGAGGGGTGTCCCCATACCGATGGGATCACCAATCAGGTCTTGATTTAAAAAAAAATCTGTAGCATACTAAATTCCAAGTACCTCTGCATTTAAGTTTTTTTTTTTCCCCCCGAAATATCTATAGCTTGCCATCAAGAGCTGGTTTCAGCTCAAAGAAAACTTAATTCTTAATTCAAGCAATAAAGTAAGTGCTAAATCTAGTCTTTTTTTTTTTAAGGTCAATCTTGGTCCACATAAAACCCCAGAATACATTTTTCACCTTGAGTACATTTATACAGTTGTATACAACATTGATAATGGGCTGCATTGAAAAAGTCCCCAAGTAACATCTTTCTGATTGCAGATATGGGTCATATTTTAAGAGAAGCCCTAATTTTCCTATGTAGAAACTCGATGGAATTTTATGGAAGCATAATAACGGCATGAATTTCATTAATAAAAAATGTTTATTAACAAAATTTAACCTTTATGCTTTCATAAATAATTACTATATTCAAAATACAAATGTATACTCAAAGATCACAAGGTGGAGCTCTCACCCAAAGCTAGAAAAAAATGAACACAGGTTTCAACCTCTAGTTACTCTTTATCAGGTATACTAATTCCATATAGCATTAAGTTAATAAAATTCTTCCTACAAGGGAAAAGATGAGAGGAGGGATTACAATTTACAATAACTCTGGAAGTAAAAGTATTCAAACTACCTGCCATCCCTTTTTTTTAATTGATAGGATCAAATTCATGGCCATGATGCATAATTTGCTTTCCGGTATTTTCATAAATCTCACAATTAAAATATCAACCCAATATCCGATCTAATTAACATTTATTAAGTACCTACCATGTGCCAGGTACTGTGCTATACATTGGGGATACAATTAATAAAAAAGACAGTCTCTGCCTTCAAGGAACTTACAATCTAAAGGAAATCATAGCAGTATGATGCAGAAGGAAAAGCAAAGGGAAAAAGAATTTTATCTTTTAGTTACAAGGATATAGATATATAGATAAGAAACAATCACTAGAACAAAATACTGCCTTCCTCTTGAAAAATCCTCATGTCATTAAAGAGATTATTTGATTTTATAAGTTAATTTAAAAGCAAGTTTTATTTTACATAAATTCGTATTGTTGAAATATCACTTATTTCTTCTGCAATGTTTTCCTTCCTCACTGATGTCTCTGAGAATACCTGGCTTCTTTTAGGGACTCAGCTTGAAAGTTACTTGAGAATATAGACTGTCAAGTATTTTCAAGTAAACTGTTTTCACATACATAATATGGAAAATGGTCCCTGGTCAAATTATAGCATTGAGTGTGTGGTTCACAACTACTAAGAAACTCTTTTTCCCTATCTATAAAATGGGAATAGTATTATTTGTACTACCGTCCTCATCAGGGGTTGTTGCAAGAAAAGTAACTTGCAAATACCAGTGAGTTCTCCCTAATAGAAAATTTCTGCTAAGAAAAGTAACTATTTTGGAGAAGAGAGGTTGCAGACTTAAGATACATAAACAATTTCATAAAATCATAGATTTGGTACTAAGGCACTATGCAGTCATTACTCTGACCCATCAGTCTCTTCAAATGTCAAGACTGACAGAGTTTTCTATTATGACTGTCACTTGTCCCCAATCAACAATTTTAAGACAATTTCAGAAACAATATAAATTTTACAGAAGTAAGAAGATACCCTCCAGCAGGGCTAAGGACATGCCCTCTTCAAACAAGTTTTTCAAGGGGTAAGGAAGGGGATAGGAGGTGAGACAGTCTTTTTCTTTTTTTTTAACAGATCTAAGCCATCTCTAAGAATTACCAGGAAATAACCTTAAGTTTATGCAAATAAGACCTAGCAATAGTCACTTGTCCCCCTCAAAGGGTAAGTGTAAAATGCTGGATGACACAGAATGGGTGAATGCTTAAGTATCTCCTAGGAACTACGGTTTTGTAAGCAAAATTTACATTGCAATGCGATATAATACTGTGTTAGATTTTTCTAATATATCTTCCATATGGTATATGCCCTTAAAAGTTGTTCCAGAGGTTCTACCATTTTTGACATCTTAACTAATAATGGAGGGACAACCCCCAAAACTGGGTTCACTGCCTACTCCTTAGCTCATTTTGTTTCCAAAACCAAAGTAGCCTTGAGTTATTTGAACTATATTAACTTGAAAACCATGACTGATCATGTGCCAAAAGACTAAGTAAGGTACAGTAGCAATAACCAACATATTTCAGAGAATTACAAAACAGAATTAATTAAAAGATTTCTAGATCTAAAAATGCATAAAATTCACATTAGGTTCCAAGAAAAGTCTTTTATTGATTTAAATCTAAATCCCAGTAGATATTTGCATCATAAAAATCACTTTGCACCTGGTATCATTTGAGTCAAGTGGCAAATCTCAAACAACAGAGAATTCATACCAGAAAACATTAGCTGTAGGCAGGATTATGTCGTTCATGTAAAAAATCCAAGTTATATATGGTATTAAGCCCTAAGCTTTCAAATAATTCTTAAAAGAAGCAGAATATACTTAGTAAATTTTTCATACATAGGTCAAACAGTGCA